GCTGTTCTTTTGACGTCTGCACGACTTCGTGTGCTGCAGAGAACAAGAGGGATTGGAACCGACTCTCTTGAGGATATATATATATATATACACAGACATGTTGACACTACTTGTGCGTAAACGGGCTGAGGGTTTAGGGATGGGGTTTAGGGCCTATCTAAAGGTCGACGGTCTCTACTGTGTCCTTTGATTTCTGAACCTCACATTCACGACTACGTCTACATCTGCTTTCAAGCGAGCTCAGAAGTAGGGTAAGATGGAACTGTGGCGGCCATGTTCGTAGCAACTTGATACAAGGGCCTAGGCCCAGAAGCCCATAAATCCGAGATTCTGCTACAGATCTTATGGTTTCGGGTTTGGGGAACCCTGAGCAACCTGAATCTACGGGCTACCTGCGCCCTACGTGCTTTAAGGATTGGGTCTGGAGCCCCCGATCCTTTTTTGCTAGAGCCAAGCCCTAAACCCCTAAACCCTAGACCCTAATCCCCTAAACCCTAACCCCCAAACCTTGAACCCTAAACCCCTTTCAACCATAAGAGCCGGGGCTTTTGGGTTTGGGCTTTCGGGTTTAGGGTTTGGGCCCTCGTTTCGGGCTTTGCGGCTGTAAAGTTTTGGGGTTTAGTCCTTCCGTTAGGGCTTGAGAACGGTAAGGTCATAGTGTTCAGGGTTTAGGGCTTAGGGTTTGGGGTCTAGGGTTTAGGGTTTGGGGTTTAGGTGTAGTTTAGTGTGCACCGAGCAGGTACGGCACGCTGCTGACAAAGTTTCCAAGCGGCGTGGCAGACGCGAACGACCTGGCGGCGGTGCGCGGGCATCGGGCTTTAGGGGTTTGTAGGGGCTGGGATAGGGGGCTTTGCCCTCGAGGCCCAAGGATAGGGTTTGGGTTTCAGGGTTGGGTGGAGAACGCCCTGGGTATAAACCCTAAACCCTAAAAAATAAACCCTAAACCCTAAACCCTAAACCGATAGGTCTATATAGCTCGGAACATCGCAATGTCGTTCGGGTTTTACGCAGGAACAAGGTTTCAAGAGCTTGAGATCTTCCAAAAAGCCCGATTGAAAATCTTCCATAAAGCCGAGTGAAAGCCCGGTATAGTTTGAGACCTTTTCCGTAAGGTCAGTGGAGGTTGGGCTTCCTGGGGCAAGCATGACATGTCTTCAGTTGTTGAGTTCTAGCGAGCACTCTAAGCCGAAACCAACTAAGAAAGTATGCCTAAACACTAAACCTGAAACCATAAACCCTAAACCCTAAACCCTAAACCCTAAACCCTAAACCCTAAACTAAAGACTAAACCTGAAACCATAAACCTTTAAGATTAGTTCCCCTCACCTATGTTTGTGGCACGCATAGACGACCACGAGGCTTCCATGCTATACAGAAAGGCACAGGGTTTAGGGGTTTAGGGTTTAGGGTTTAGGGTTTAGGGTTTAGGGTTTAGGGGTGTCAGGACCTTAAACCCCCCCAAACACCTTTAGGGCCTTTCAGTTCAGATGCGGGCGAATAAGGGGGCGATCACAAGAAGAACTAAAAGGGCTACCTCACAAGGAACCTCTTCGTGGCTGAAAGATAAGAGTTTCCGAGTCAGGGCTCAGGCCTTGGAGCCTAGATTGGGCGTCAGGGCTTGTGGCTTGAAGGTTTAGGGTTCAGGGTTTACCCCTAAACCCTAAACCCTAACCCTTAAACCCTACTGAAGGATTTAGGGACTGGCGACTTTTCCCCAGCCCCTTAGCTCCAGATTTTTGCGGATACTTCCGATGCCATCACACTAATTATCACCGCGCCGAGGAGGGGAAGGTTCTTAATCCACCAGCGGAGCCGTTTAGGGGCCCCTTGCAAGCACCTGCTTGCGGGAACTGGGTATGGGCCCTGACAGCAGCATTGATCACCGGCCCCGACTGCCTAAGCGTATGGAAGCGAAGTCAGCACGCTCCGTTGGGCGATGCGATGGAAAGCTTTCTTTTCTCGCTTTACTTCGAGCACTCAGTGCAGGCTCTGAACATACTGGCCGACTTCGCGACCCTCGCTACTCTTCTGCATCAGCTTCTGCAGGACATTCCACCAACCCCAAACCCTAACCCCTAAACCCTAAATCCTAAACCCTAAACCCTAAATCCTAAACCCTAAACCCTAAACCCTAAACCAACCGTGTACTACAGGTTGAGCTGGCGTCAGACCTGGCAGTCGCTAGAGGACACCCTGGAAGAATGGCTGTGAGCTTGCGACCATCGAATCCTTGAGCCATGAGTTCAAGATGAAAAGCCTCAAGACATGGCCCTGTAGAGCTTTGGGGGTTTAGGGTTAGGGGTTTGGGGTTTTGGGGTTTTGGGGTTTTGAGTTTAGGGCTTAGGGTTTAGGGGTTCAGGGTCTAGGGGTTTAGGGTTTAGTGTTTAGGGGTTGGGGTTTCGGGCTTAGGACTTAGGATTTACCCCTAACCTCACGACCCCCTACCTACTTCTTTCTAGATCTTGAAACTGCAATCCCCAACACCAGAGGATTAACAAGCAACGGCTCAACTGCTTCGGACTGGGGATTTGATGGTAAACTTAAGACCCGGCTACAGTGCTACAGCTCAAACCTTTCAATCCAGCAGCTAGAGCTCAACCGCAATCCTGGAACTAGGTCCCCCAGTAGTACCTTCACGCCCTTTAGTTTTGGGGTGGCCCTAGGAGGACAAGGTTACCATAGCATTACGGGACTACCGGGCGGGGACCCAGACCCCGCATCTCTCCAGCCTGCTACTCCTCAGTGAGCTTAATGAGCAGGTGATAACAAGTGAAGTTTTTGGGTTTAGGGATACATACCCGGATTGTGCCTATCTGTAAACCCTAGATCCAAAGCTCTTAAAGCCCTTCGAAACTACTTGACTCATCGCAACTTACTTGAACCATTGCCCTATCCTGAAAGCAGCGCTTGCGGGTCGGAGAGAGAAAAAACGAAGTATCAACTAACAGCTACGCTCCAACACCCCCGAAACCCTACTTGAATTTTCAGGGGTTAGTTGAATGAAGGGGAGGGTCGGAAGTTGTACAACTACAGCCACGAGTTCCTTATTGAGTGTAAGTACACCTTACTTATAAACTCCTCTGCATCTTCGAAACCCCAACGTCTCAGATCCTAAACCTTCAACCGTAGCTTTGGCTTCTCTGCGCCAGAGCTGTGGTGCCTCGTCCATGCGCTCTTCCATGAAGTCCTCGAAGTCTAAAGGTGCTCCGCGGTAATGGTTTAGGGCTTAGGGCTAATATCGGTGCCTGCATTTCTTGCAAGAGTTCTCCCAGAGGTTTGGTTCGGGGGGATAGCAATGAAATCGGGTTTTTCCCTAGACTTTCTTAGTTGCAACAGGGTGCTCCCAGAACCTTGACGGGATTGGTGCGCTACATTCTCCGCGCTCTGAGCCATCTCTATATTCAGGCTTCTGCTGTTTTGCTTTAGGGGTCTTCGAGGTTAGGGCAATGAGGGGTTTGAGAGCTGGGATCTTGCGTTTTTGAGTCTTGGCATCTAGGAGTTTCGGGCAAATTAAAGCCTTAAAATCAGACCCTCACGACCGGGACCGCCCTGAAAGGTTGCGAAGTCTTGTTCTGTTAATTGTCCCGTAGCGGCGATTAAAGTGATTATGATTATGAATATGATTATGATTCTTGTCATTAATGCTATTTATAATATGCTTGATGCTGTTATTACTATTGAAATATGGTCTCTTATATGACAGCGAAGGCCATAGTCGACTTCCATACTCGGCGACTGGGTGCGCAAGCGGTTGTCAGAAGTCCGATCACGAAGTACAACCCCTCAACCAAACTTAGGCACGAACTCGATGGGGCCTTTATGGGACAGACTGTTCACAACTCAAGCGCCTTGCATCGTAAACAAGGCCCTACACCGAAAGCTCCAAACCCTAAACCCCTAATTAATCCTGTAGACCCCTAGACCCCTAGACCCCTAGACC